GATTTTAATTTCAATGCGCCTCTGAAAAGAAATGATATGGAAGATCCATGAGAATCATTTAGGAATTGAGAAGTGCAAACAACAAGCACGAGAGGTGCTGTATTGGCTATGGATCAATCATGACATCACTAATGTGGTAGGAAACTGCTTTTCCTGCTTGAAATACAAGTTCTACATATTCTTGCAGCAATCACAGTTATTAAATGGAAAAATAATATGAGGAAAGTATTTAATATGTTTTAGCTGTTGTGATTCAGCAAAGTACGTATGCTTAATGTTAAGGACATGCTTATGAGTAATCTCATCCTTATTCAGCCAAGCATTTAAGCATTTTGCAAAATCCCATTGACACATAAAGTTAACCATGTGCTTAAGGTCTGTGATGAATTGGGGCCTGAGTAAAGTTTAGCAGCCTAACATAAGGAGAAGTAGTCTAATGTAAACAACTGGTTTTCCTCAGATCAGTTGCAAGTGCTCCAGAGATTAGTCTGGGATACAGACCTATGATTTAATAAAGAATGCACTATTGTAGATGGAGCCATCATCTTTGTAAATTTCAGGTGCTGAATATTTCACTTCTTTCACTGTTAGTGGGAAATTTCATATTATTTTTACTTATTCTCAGAGTTTAAAAAGCACTAAAATAAACATACATCTGCAAACTTGTTTCAGTTTTTTTATTTGAGAACATCCATTAAACATAGAAAGTGTTTAGAACTGTGTGGCACTTCTATGCTACATATACTTTAATCTGAGATATGAATAAAAACACCAAAATACCGGATAACATATGTTTTTCCATATTTAAACACTGAAGATGGGGTGAAAGGGAAGCTGAGATTATGCAATTTGATGCAGAGAGCGATATGAAAATTTAACCAAGCATTTTCATGTCTATATATTTCACCAACATACATACAGCTCTCAGGATGTTTCTTTAAGAAACTTGCTCTACTTATCAACATAAAATATATCCTAAGAGTGATTATTGATATTAACACCACTTTTGACATTACTGATTGGCATGCAACTATATAAATATAGTATAATTACTTTTTCCTATAGAGTTTTGTACATATGAAAAATTATGATACAATAAAAATCTATACATATGGTGTTAGCAGTTCTGCTGCTGCTAACCTAAAATATACATCTTTTAAAAAAGTGACTGCTCAGCTCTTTGCAATACAAAATAAAAGAGCAATCTCAGAAATGCTTTTTTCTTTAAATAGCAATTTATATAAACATTCATATCTTCATTATCTCACTTTGGTTAGAACTGGTTAAAATGGTTCACCTTTGCCTGGTTGCATTTGTACACGGCAAGAATCAGTCTTAAGTAATCCACTTTATCTGTTTTAGGCAAAGGCTGACATTTGTAAAACAGCAAATGTCAGATGGCTTCCTTTCTAAATCTGTATGGTTATAAAGTTTCCACTCTCAAAAGTTTAACAGTGGAAAATATTTGCTTGCAGGATTCTCACCTGTTGGTAAATATTCCAGTGGAGGACTAGATTGCATCTCAGGAGAAATTGTTCCCTAAATTTTATACAATACACCTCGAAGAGAAGGTCAGCTTTTTAAAACATTTGTTTTATTGTAATAGTTCATGTGCTTTGCTGTATAGAACCCTAAAGACTCCCCAGATAGATTTAGCTGCTGCTAAATAATAAATTCAGTGCCATGGAAGGGATGACAAATATATATAGCAATCTCATTGTTGTTTCCCTTGAGGTCTGGTGCAAAGCAGCATTACTCCAGGATATTATTACATTTGGTTGCCATGAGATCTATGTTAACCTGAGACAGAGAACAATAATTATACTGCTACCAACACCTCACCTACCACTTCTTTATGCCTCCAAAATAAATGAAATCCTGACCCCTGTCAAATTACCATTGACTTCAGTGTGGTCAGGTTTTCACCCAAAGTGTCTCTTGTCTAAAGATTGCATTGGAGACATGGAGGACAAAAAGCATGAAGTAGATGGCTGAAAGTAACATTGAAGATCTCTGGGACATGCATTTTCTACACCGAAGGTATCATTCTGATTTGATAGCCTAGTATCTGTAGCTATTCAGACCACATATGATGATAAAGAGGATAGAACGCAACCAATCAAGCTAAAAAACAAAGAGGAAATGAATGAACTGAGCAAAAACAAACAATGCTAGGAGAAATACCTAGTCAGAAAAAAAATATGTTTAGAAAAAAATTGCTTTGAAGTTTTATGACCCAATTTTGTAAATAAGATGAACTTCTCTCCACCCAACTAATGAAAAGTAAATTTGCCATGTACAGATAATTGATGGTGACAGCTCTGGCATGCACTGTGCAGTAGGTGGTGTAATGATCGGATGTATCCTGTGCATATAAGTAACAAACTGAGCTCTTGCGTTTTCTGTAGGGTGTTGGTAAGCACATTTTCGTGCCTTTTCTATTGATCGTCCCTTAACTCTGTGTTTCAGCTCTATATTCTTTTACAGCCTTCTTCCCTTCAAACTAGAAACCGGCAGAACTAGTACCTCAGACTCAACCCTGTTGGGTTTCAAACATGTTTGGATTTGGACCCAATGGATGCCCAGGGAGACAGATATTGCCCAGGCAGATGTAACCTTTATAATTTTCCTGCTATTTTCCCAAGAGCTCTTGCTTCTACATTAACAAGGCTGTGGTATTCTTTTCTCACTGTTTTTTGTTTGTTTTTTTGTACAGCCTCTGCACGCTTTGTATGACTCTCATCATTGACCCTTTTTTTTTTTTGCAATATCCTCACCTCTAAATAAATATTAATTGGAATCTATCTCAGTTTCTTAATTCCTCCATCATCATCTCAAATTGGATCCTAACCTCAACCTTTTACAAAATCCTGAGCCTCAGCATCCCTTCTGTTTCCCAGTGACATGATACAGTGCTGCCTCCATTTTTTTTAGTTCCCTGCATTCTGAAATGTTTGATGTGTTGAGGAAGAGATTTTAACCAAGAGCAAATGAGAGCTAGAAGTGCATGCGCACTCCCTGTATGGCATGATTACCACAAGAGAAGGGCCAAAACTACAGACCCAGACCTGAACTTCCCCAGTCTGAATATGATAGGTATGAGCTCGTTTCTAATTATTACATTGTGTAGAGAGAGTTTTTCATCCAACTGAGAATCAAAGGAAGAAGTGACAGATATTACAAAAAAGTAGATGCTCCCTTGCTAGCAGAATTTGGGAAGTACTGGGTGAAATCATAAAATAAGTGCAATGGCGCTTTGCATTCCTTGGCAGTGTTCTGGAAGCTCCTTCTCAGGTGAACTTTTGCCTGCCAGAGAGAGCAGCGGGCCTTCATTTGAAGAAATTGGAACTCCCTCCCTGCACTTATTCACCACCAAGTTAGCTTTTCTGCCTTGCACTATTCCCACCAGCCAACACTCAATGCTTGTCTAATCCCTCTCCAGTTTCTCCCATATGCTCTCAAATGTATTAAACCACCACTGGAATTTTTTTTCTCTATTTCTACTTGGATACAATAACCTTTGGTGCATCTGGTCCCAGAGGGAATTTGAACAGTTGATTAGTTTAAATAAGTTTGCCTGTTAGATGTGTCTTTTTTTATGGCTTTTGATTTTTGAGACTATGTCAGCCTAGCAGTCCACCTCAAAGCAGGAAAGAAATCTAGGGCCCTTATCATGGGACATGCTGTGTGCTCACTGGAGTTAATAAAGATAGAGGGCATTCAGCACCAGGCAGGAAGTACTTTAGCACCTTGCAGGATCAGGTCCTAACCAATAAAAGAGCTATTACAAGTTCTCCAAAGAAATGCTCATAGTCACACAATGCTTTCCCTGCAGTTAATTACAGTTACTGACATAAACTAACTGAGGATGAACCCAGCATCTGAAGTAACTGAAGCAAAGGGAGGCCAGCAGAATGTTAAGATACTCAGAAATTGGTAGGAGAGATGGAACACATGTTATTGGACAACAAAATTACAACCCAGGTGATTATGGAACATTTGTTTCTATAATCAAGTATCAGAGGGGTAGTCGTGTTAGTCTGAATCTGTAAAAAGCAACAGAGGGTCCCGTGGCACCTTTGAGACTAACAGAAGTATTGGGAGCATAAGCTTTCGTGGGTAAGAACCTCACTTCTTCAAATGCAAGTCTGAAGAAGTGAGGTTCTTACCCAT